GGATTTGATGCGCCCACCGAGACAGGCCGGTCAAAAGTCGAAGATTCAAAATGTTGGCGCGCAACGACCGTTGGCGCGGGTTTGGGCATGGATTCTGAATGTGTGTCGCACCGCCTTGTTTCCACGAGGTTACATTAGTGGATCGTTGCGATGTGTAGATTCTTAAGTTACTATCTTTTTGTTTTGTACAGTAGGTAGGAAAAATTGCGAGCGTTTGAAGTTGTTGAAACTCCTGATGAGAAAGAGCGTGGAAAAAGTGACTTTTTCTTACAGCTCTCTGATCCCGTGAGTTCGCTTCGTTTTTTATTCTCAGGACCGAGGAAGTCATATTTCGAGTTATTTGCGGAATTTGAGCTACAGTACTGTAAAGATGGATCACGAACAGGAAATCCGGGTGATGCAAAGGGAATATTTCGATTTCTTGGATGACGAGGTGAGCCATGCTAGAATAAATCGTGTCTCCATCAAATGATTCTGATGTCGTTTTATGCCCAGGCGGATCAAGGAATTTATTCTACTACCGTTAGTCGTATGCTGGAAGATGGTCAGAATCGTTTGATCGTGGATATGGTCGATTTGCGAAAGAAAAATCGCAAGCGAGCAGAAGGGTATGTGTGAACTTTTCAGTGTTGTTCCGTTTTGTTGAATCTTTCCTGGGTTTAGGCTTTTGAAAGCACCTGTGGACGAACTGATCGCATTTCAAGGTGCCCTGAAAGAGATGGTCGGCTTATTGAAACCGGAGTTGGCGAAAGAGCTTTCCAATATGGAATTCTTCGTTGGATTGGAAGGAACATTCGGATCTAAACACGTTTCCCCGCGTTCTTTGAGCTCGCGATTTCTGGGTAGTTTAGTGTGTTGCGATGGAATTGTCACCAAGTGTACGACTATCAAGCCCAAAGTTGTCAAGTCAGTCCATTATTGTCCCGCTACGCAAAGAACAATGGAACGACGTTACACCGATCTTACGAGCAGCGATCCTTTCCCAAGTTCTGCTTCTTATCCTACGAAGGTGAATGCGAAATTTTTAACGTTTCTGTGAAGACCGATGTTATTGAAATTCGAATGCAGGATGAAGATGGTAATCCATTGGAAACAGAGTACGGGTTGTCGTCGTATAAGGATCATCAAATTTTTTCCATTCAAGAAATGCCTGAGAAGGCTCCCGCCGGTTAGTTTTCCGTTCGGAGCTGCGTTGGAACAGAAAAAAAATTTTTCTGTGTTTTACAGGCCAGCTACCACGATCAGTGGATGTTATGGTGGAACACAGTCTCGTGGATTCTTGCAAACCGGGAGACCGAGTTCAGGTCGTGGGCGAATTCCGCTGCTTGCCTTCGAAGCAGGGTAACGTTAGTACAGGAATGTTCAGGTTAGTATATATATATTTTTTTATCGTGAAGCCCTCGACTAAAACAACGGTGTCCCTCAGATCGATTATTCTCGCCAATAATGTCATCACTATGAGCAAAGCGGCCGATGTAAACATCACAACTGAAGAATTCACGAAGATTCGCTCTTTTGCGAAACAGAACGGAAGAACCGTTTTTGACACGCTCGCGAGATCGCTGGCGCCTTCAATTCATGGTCATGAATACATTAAGAAAGCTTTGTTGTGTATGTTGCTGGGAGGTACCGAAAAGATTCTTCCAAATGGCACCAGACTTCGAGGAGACATAAATATTTTATTGATTGGAGATCCCAGTGTCGCAAAATCTCAGCTATTACGATATGTTCTGGGCACTGCGCCGCGTGCGGTTGCAACCACAGGACGTGGAAGCTCTGGTGTCGGCTTGACAGCTGCTGTTACGACTGACATGGAAACCGGGGATCGTCGGTTAGAAGCTGGTGCCATGGTTCTTGCCGATCGAGGAGTCGTCTGTATCGATGAATTCGACAAAATGACTGATGCCGATCGAACAGCAATCCACGAAGTAATGGAACAAGGTCGCGTCACAGTGTCGAAGGCTGGAATTCAAGCGCAACTGAATGCTCGTTGCTCAGTACTTGCCGCTGCGAATCCTGTTTATGGTCGTTATGATCAATACAAAACTCCGATGGAAAACATTGGGCTCCCGGATTCCCTCTTGTCGCGTTTCGATTGCATTTTCGTCATGTTGGACACGTTGGATGCTGATGCGGATCGTCGTATTGCAGATCACGTCTTACAGGTCCATCGTTACAAGGAGAATGTCAATAACCGTGCTGCTGCGCCAGAAACAGCTGACAGCTTGAATACTGCCAGTACGCAGGACGAAAACTCTGAACAGGACAGTTCAACTGGCCAGCGCGTACTGACCATTTATGAAAAGAACGATGTTCTTCGCACGAAAGGCTCTGGGTAAGTAATCTATCTTGATGCATACCCAGATTCTACGAAGATACGCGAACAAATTTTCCTAGCAAACCCGATGAAGTTTCTCTCGTAAGCTAGATTTTAAATTTTTAATCACACTATTCATCCTCCCAGATGTACGTTTTGATTTTTGTAATGTACTGTATATTTTCCTTGCTTCTATTTAGCATACGAGACTTAGAGTAGAAAGATTGATTTATCGTATCAATTTTTTGCGCTAAGTGTGTCCTTATTACGTGCCTACGGAGCGACGTTAGCAATTTTCGACCATTATGCATGCTATTTTTAATGTTCTTTTTTTTTACTTTTCAGACAAAAAATCCTTACAGTGGAGTTCATGAAGAAATACATCCACATGGCCAAAATGGTGCAACCTAGCTTAACGCAAGAAGCCTGTGAAGTTATTGCCGAAGAATACGCTCGTTTACGATCCCAGGACGCAGTGGAAAATGACGAGTCGAATAACACAGCAGTCGGTGGCGGTCGATCGAAAATGGCCCGTACGCAACCCGTAACCGCTCGTGCCTTGGAAACCTTGATCCGTCTTGCCACAGCCCACGCGAAAGCCAGAATGTCGAGAAAAATTGAGT